ATATATTAGAAAAACTTCAACTTGCGTTCAACATAAATCTCATTCAATTTAGTTAAAGCATTCATAATTGCATCCACATCATTAATTTAGATATAAATTCATCAAAACAAACATTTTCATTCTTATTGTTTTGGTTAGGGTCACGGTAATTAGAATTAGAACTAATCAATCATCGTGGGACGATACTCGGACTCAAAAAGTCCACTTTATTACTTGTTAAAGAACCGTATACTTGCGGTGTGTTTTATTCGAAATATATATTCGCGTAACACAAACATTATTTTAGAAATTTCACATTTCTTTCTTTATGATTATTTTTATTTCTAAACTCTCCTATTTATTGCAACGGGAAACACCACTTGTACAACCTCGGTTGACAATCTCTCACAGTTGTGGGTCCCACTGTGTTTTAAAAAAAATTACCCACCCACCCATCTCATATGTGAGTGGTTGTCAACCTCACTTGTACAAGTAGCACGATTCTATTGCAACATATTCAATATAAGTAATTGTTCAAGACAAATATTTATAGATATTTTTGTACATTTCAGTTTGTAACCTGAAATTGGAGTTACATCAGAGGGGGTTGAATTATTTTGCTCAACAAAAAAAAAAAAAAAAATTTCTAAAAATTTATAAAAAATAAAAAATAAAAAATAAAAGTAGTTCAAGTGTTAATGTTATTTACATAAAAATTTTAAATAAAATGAAAATTCTTAAAAATAAATTAGAAAAATAAAAATAGTTCAAGCTTTCAGTGATTATTTAAATACAAATATTTAATAAATATTAAATGAACATGTATAAAAATATTTTCAGTCAACGCTGTTAATTTTTAATTTTATTTTCTTTTGAGCTCAATTTATTATTTATTTTTATTTTACTTTTGTAGCGAAAAGTAAAGTCCCAGTTTGATGGTCATTTTTTGGGGGAAAAACATTTTTTTGAATAATAATTTTTTGGAGAATGTGTGGTTAAAAATTAGGGAAAATTTTTTGGTTCATGTATATAATATTTTATTGTATGAATGTGTGGTTAAAAATGAGTACATAAAAAAATATTTTTAAATGAATGAAAGACAAACATGGGCTTAGAAGTAGTTTAGAATTTTCCACTTAGACAAGATCCACAATGCATGTGTCATACTGAATCTGAGACAAATTTAGTCTCTATTTGAGTTTCATTATTTAAAAACTTATTTTTCTCAAACTTACTTTTTAATACACATT